TAAGTAGTATATTATTAGTAGTATATATTATTATTATCTTGTTAACTAGTTATTTTTACATACATATATGCACCTTAGAAACTAAAATTAATATATAATTGTAAAAAAAAAATTAAAATAGTTTAATAACGCAACTATTTTTATTATTACCCGTAAGTTCCTCTACCAATTGCTGCACTAATCGATAATTAGAAAATTTATGTACATTCAAGGCCATAACTGCGTTTAAGAATAAGAACGAAACTAAAAATTTATTAAAATGTCACTTAAAATGGTGTAAAAGTCATTTACTCAGTGTTGACTGATCGCAATTCGAATTTGATCTCAACGACTTGCTTGCTTTTAATCGTTTGTTTCGTATGTTGGCAACACATTGGCAGTGAAGTGTAATGCGCTTCACTCGTGTAAACAGATCGTTGCGATGGCTGATGACACGTCGGTGTAAGCTACGTTCACAATCAATGCCATTACTTATTATGTACTTGTTTAGTCATCGATTTTTTATTTGTTGAAGATTGTATTCTGTATGTATATATGTATATATAATTCATAATGCACTTCGTATTTAAAAATATTTTTCAAAAAGGTTGTTTTATATAAAAAATATGATTGTATAAAGTTAAATTTAACAATGTATTATTTATTGTATTGCATATAATCTACAAAATTATCAACCCCAATATTTACTTTTCCGAAAGAGAAATTTTTGTAATTGCCAGAGAATTGGACTTGCTAATTTTATATTTTTTCGACTTTTCAACTCTTTCTGAATAATTTGACGCTAAAATTGGTAATGTAATTAGCAGATAAGTGCTAAATATGTTGTAATTTTGTAAAACTTAATTTTTATGGATTAAGTCAATTATCAACACATATCCAAAAATTTAGATAACTTTTCTCAAGCCAGAATGCCACTTACACCTAGTTACTTTTAAACCTTTTGTTTTCTGTGTCATGTACTACAACTTTGGATGTATTAACATTGGATCTTTTAATTATTTTTTTAGATTTTTTTTTATCTCATTAGATTTACATCATTAAACTATGAAATTATATTTCTTCTCGTTTATTGATTTTTCCATCATATGATGAATGTTATCAATAAGCTTTACGCTATTTTGGCTCATTTGTTTCCCAAGAAGCACCTGACCCATATGTAATATTGAGTATGTAATCTTATTTTGAATATTAAGGAATAATAAATACAAAAATATTTTTGTTCTAATTGAATTTTAATGTTTTTAAAATACTAGAATTTTAAAAATATTAGAAGAAATAAAACAACTTTCTTTTATAATAAAATAAATTGAAGATTACGCTGAAAAAAATAGCAGTAGATGCTCATTGAATAATTATAAAAAGGTTTAAAAATATATGTGTCGATGAGTAATTTCAGCAGTCATGTGCAAATAATTATATTTTTAATATAATTTTAAGTATTTGAACTAGCAAATGTACAGCATCGAATTCAACAATTCATCGAATTGTGATGCAAAAGAATAATATTAGAATTTTAAATTTATATTTAAATAGAATAAGTAAAATTTGTTTTGGGAGCTAAAGCAAATATTTGACTAACTGAAAATATAGCTACAGGTTCAAAATTATCGATAAAAACTTTCGATAAAACATTTTACTTTAACTTCCAATACATATATTACAAAACTGCTTATTGTAATCGCACCTTTAACATTTTTGCTCATGAAATATTTCACAATATTGCGCAATAAGAATTCATACATCGGGAAGAAAGTAACGTTTTGCAAATAGAGCGATTGTTTTATTAACCGATTTTATTACTATATAAAGTATTTTATATTTATGTGTATATTTCTGTGCTGCATATTTTATTCTGAATATATATTTTTTGCGCTGAAATAAACAGGTAAGTTATATATTTTATATTAAATACGTTCTCGTAGATGATATGTCATCGGATGACTCAGCTGTTTAGAAGTTGTTTTATTGCAAAAAACAGTCTTAAGTATGTTATATTATATATTACAATAGTATATTAATTTTATGTTATTGTTTTCCAATAATTAATAATTATCTTTTTATATTAATTTATATTTTCTATAAATTTCATCGCATTTTGTTATCTACATGATTGTGACTCACAGTCACAGCTCACAGAATTCAATGTAGAATTATATCTGCATTTTATTATATTATATAATGTCTTCATTAAAAACAAATTGGACAATTGAAATATGCATGTTGGAATACAATGTAAATTTTATTTTTTTAGACATTCTTGCGGTCGATAAGGTATATCGATTACAATTTTCTTTGCGAGCAACATAAATCACAAAAGTAGACCAGTTAGCACCATTTTTAACAAGAGTACACAGGAATTTGTTGTAAGTGTTGATGATAATTTTAAATTATTTGTAATTTTAATATAATTTTTTAATTCTATGATAAGGTAAATAGAATTATATATAACTTATTTGATTTATTTACTCAGTATTAACCTTACATACATTTTGTTCCTGTATGTAATGGATGTTTGGTTTATCTAATTGTGAAACAATGATGCATATGATGTATTTTATTTTTGTTTGTTTTTCGATGAAAGTAGCTCTTTGATAAATCAAATTTTAATATACTCATATTTGAATTATGATTCTGTTTTTGAATTATATGAAATATATGAAAATGTTTCAACATTAGACTTTTAAATTTACAGTCGAAAACAAAATGGCACTCGTCTTCTACCCAACAAGCTCAAAGTGGCTCAGATATGAAGAAGTCACCTCTCGAGAGCAAACGAATGAAGACAAATTTAAAGAACAATTTATGTTTAGTATTGACAAACGAAGATATGCTGAACGTGCAGGCCACAAATGTGGCAAAAAATTCAATAATGGATATACAAGAAAAGTATCAATGCGAACCAATTCAGGTTGCATCCAGGGTAAATAGATATTAAATTAATAAAAGATAAAAATTATATTCATAATATACAGTTAATAATATATTTAAATGTATTATGTTTTTGACAGGATGGCGAAGTAAGAAATCAATTGACAAAAGATCAATCAAGTTATTTAGTTCTGACAGATACAGAAATGTTCCTCAAGAAAGATTTATCAGAGGAACCAATCGATCTGAACCCATGGTGCAAGGAGTGGACAACTTCTTGCTTAGATGAAGAATTACTTTCCTCAAATTTAGGTATAAATTTTTTTCTATTGCTGATATTATACAAAATGAAGTATAATTATGTTATATATAAACTCATAATGTTGAAATTATTTACAGATGTGCAACACATGTTTTGCATAGATCATTTCACAAATTTGCAGACATTACAAGATCCTAGATCTTCAACAGAACTGTCCACGAGTCAACCAACCACAGCTATTTTCGAACATAAAAGTATTCCCAAGGACGATATAATATATGATTTTGATCAGCACATATACAGCATATCACATGATAATGAAAATAACAATGTTTTATCACCAACATTCATAAACAATGATATAGAAGAAATGGACTTGTCTCGGCAAGTAAATGATTCAAAAACATGGGAATCCGAGATGCAAAATGTCGAAATCATTCCTAATGATAAATTAGATAGTGCAAGTTTTTATCTGAATAAATTTGAAACAGAACAAAATAACGAGGAATCTCCAAATCCAACTTTAATTTTATCTCCAGCTGAAAGTGATATATTCTTTGACACTTACACTGTTGTTGATCCAATGGACAATTTTCACTCATTAAATAACAGATCCGACACTACTATCGAAAATTTAGAATCTCCAGACCTTAATAATCCCTCAGATGAAGTGTTTGTGGAGCAGTCTATTGATCTCAGCTTTATATCTAATGACATACTTGAAAGTGATAAATTAGAAACCATTACAGCAAGTGATAATTGTCTTTTGTCTAGATTTTCCTTAATTGATTCAAGTAAACCTTTGTTGAATATAAAATTGGTACCGGAGAGTTCAGATTGTTTAGTTAACACTCCTGATGTCATCGACAATGCCATGTCATTGGAAAGTGATTTCAACCTGCTTTCCTACATAGATGTAAGTAATTCTTATTTCATTCTGCTAATTTTTTTGTCTTTATTTGTTTCATACATAATTATGAATATTATGCTATTGAAAATCACATAAAATTTAAATCTATATATCTCTAACTATATAATTTTTTTTATTGCAGAACGATACTACAAGCATTAGCTCAGTTTCAAGTGATGCAACTAAACATGTACCAGTTAACAATTTTTGTGCAATTAAGGCTAATAATAAAAAATCTAAACATCGACATAACTTATCTATTGAGTCGCACCTGTCAACAACTTTAAAAGCCAAGAAAAAGCAAGAGAAAAGAGGGCGCCCACCTAAACTTCCGGGGTCTTCTATAAAAGTGGAATTCTTTCCTGGAGAAACTGAAGATGATTTTAAATACAGAGAATTAAGAAATAAAAATAACGAAGCATCTAGAAGATCACGAATGCTGAGAAAAGAACGTGAAACTCAGATTCTTACAACTTTGCATGATCTTGAGAAACACAATCAACAATTGATCAATAGTGTTTCACATCTCGAAGAAGAATGTAAAAAATATAGAAGCAAATTATTAGATGCTATGTCGAAATGAATATATTTACTGTATACTTGTTAATTATTAATAATCATGCCCTCAAATATATATCGGATGATTAGATTTTATATCATTTAAAATTATTGAATATTTACATAAATTTTATTTAGATATTAATTAAAATGTATGTTAAAGGTATGGGGTAAATTATATATTTTTAAAATTATTTATATATGCTATGCATGAATCCTTGAAATAAAATTATTTATATACGTTTAAAATGTGTTTTTGTACAATTCTTATTATTGTAGGGGGTAATATGTGAAAATACTTTGGTCATTGTGTAAATGATAATGAAATATCTGGAAACAACTACGTTAGCTTATACTATATTTTTCAGGGTCTTTTCGTATTTCACATTATTATATTGCATACTTAATGCTAAATTTTAAATTCTTATAATTATTAGAAAATAATTATTATTATTGAGATTTGTAATGTATAGCAAAGCCTTGAATTCAGGTATTATAAAATTGTATCAATACTAGTTGTAATTATTTACCTTCGACTAAGAAACTTCGGGGGAACGCCTGTTCAACGGAAACCGCGTTTTTAGAGGGCTGTTGCGATTTCAGCTCTGCGTAATATGGATTTTTACCGCATTATAGAGGGGTTGACAGTGCTTTGAAAGCCACTTTACCATATTATTACATTGTCTAGGCCACTTTACTTTATAAACTTTTTTATGTTGCTATTATATGAACCTCACAATCTGAAGTTAATTTCGAATAACATGCCTTCAAATATTAAGATTTTATTTAAAAACTTTTTGTTCCATTTGGTGGCAACAGAGCGCAGCACTACGTTGGCCAACGCAAATTTATTATTTTTAACGTCAAGTTGATATAGCAGTTAGACCGGTGCCTTTCTAGAAAATTTGACAGCTTTTTCTAAGAGTAATTTAACTAATGCATCAAACGCAATTAAGAGATATTGATAATTAGAATTCAATAATTAATTATAATGTATGATTTAATGATATTGCATAATAAAATATATAGTGAAAAATTGATGTCAAACAAATTGTCAATGATTGTACAAATGTCAGACCTAGGTGAGTAACGAACAAATTCTTCTTTTTATTTCAATATTATTTGTGAAGCAATCAGCCACGGAAGTAATTTTAATGTCCGAAGATATTTTATCATCTTGCATTGAATACTAAAAATAGAAGTAGATAATTTATTTAAGCTTGGTTTTTAAGAATGGATTATTTGAAGTTTGTATATGAAGCATTGAAAAGCTCTTAATTTGTACCAGTACTGTAGTTTCTGCTAAGATTTTTGAATATTAAAAATAAATTACCTATTTATTAATTTAATTATTGTTTTTTTCTATGTTTTTTATGATATGACGGAAATGAGTTAAGTACTTTGTTAAACAAATTTCATGCTCAAACTCTTGCAACTTTTTCGGGGTGAATTTTGTCCACAAACTTTTAGAGATCAGAAAGCTGCTTTTAAATTATTGTAAGGCCCTTAGCGGAAGTTATACCCTTTACAACTACTTCTGTTTAAACACAATACATAATATCTATGATGTGTTACACTCGCTATCCCTATATTTTTCAATAATTTCACGCCTTAATTCAATAGACTTGGTCTTTTTCTTCATACCCATGGTTATAAAAGTAAAAAATATTTTGTGAATGTACAAAAAGCAAACGCGAACTTAACATATATAATAACTGTACAATCACTATTAATGTGTAGTTAAAATTACAAACGTTAAAATAATTCTCGAAATATGTGCGAGAGTAAATCGTTACTATACAATTAATATTATTAATTGTATCAATATATAATATATTAAATAAATTTAAATAGCTAAAATAATTTACAATCATAAAACAGCCGAAATATTTCTATGGTAGTAAAGTCATTGTAACAACTGACAAATTTTTTTATGTTTTTATTTGCCATTAACATTTTTCCAGAAAATTTTTACACGCTGAATGCTCATATGTCTAAGCAAGGAATCGCTCCTTTAGCGATTCATATCTCGAAACACTCGTAAGTCGGGGTACCACTGTATATATATATATATATATATATATATATATCAATTATATATATTGGAGAAGAACTATCGAAGCGCGTAAGCGCCGCGTCGTAGTCTAACGGTTAATCATTAGTACGGAACCCATAGAAATGCAAACAAATTTTGTAGTTATTATCAAAATCTCTATAAAATATCTGATAATTTGATGTGCATATGTTTAATAATCAGTTCTGACCGTCTTTTTTTACTTCTTTTACTCGATCTCCGAAACCTATAGACATGCCTTCCAAAAAAATATTATTTGTTTATTTCGTCAATACAAGTAAAATGTTGAATCTCCTTGTCAATAAAAGTCGTATGTTTTTTGAATCATTCAAATCGGTTGAACCGTGTTCCCGAAATCATCAACGAAAATTTGTATTCGCACACACACACATACATCCATTTTTTGCCAAAATGTTCTGAAATCTTGAAAACGTAAAAATATATAAACATTTTTATTCTAGATTTTTTGCGATCACTATAACTTACACTGGAAATTAATTACCCTACGGGATGTTAACAATGTAGCCTCACATCAATTTACAAATACCGTTGTTGTTGTTATATGCTATGAATAAATTTTTGCCAAAAAGATTAAGTAATGAATTTGACGTAAATATGGATTTTTGAATATGTATGTCCTGTATAAGTATATCCTGTACCTGAATTTTGTATTTTAAAATAACAGCAAAAATAATTGATTTTTCTTTTATAATAAATGTTATTAACATAGTATATAATACTAATACTGGAAATATCCTATATATTTTACCATAAAACAATAATTTGATTCTATTAAATGGGCACCGTAAAAATTTTCGATTAGATGGATATTCTCAGGTTAAATATCAGGCAGCTTGATATCCAACAGTTATGATTTCGGTTTTCGATTGAAATATATAACTAAGTTTGTTAGTTTCAGAAGTAGAATTATTGAACAGTCAGATTTGTTAAGATGGTTATGTCGAAGGCATGGGTGTAAGCTTATTTAGATAAAGATGAGGCACGTTAACTATTAACATAGAGGAATGCGATTTGTGATTTGAAGACCAAGTTTTTCTCAGAAAGAAGTTTTTTAAAACTGCAAAATCAACTTTATATAATGAAATATCCAAATAGTTAATGATACAAAACAATTTACCACATAATATGTATTTTTCTACAAAATTACATTGAATTATAATATAATTAAAAGTATATATGTATATAAGAAACATTCATATTGTTATGCTTTAATATTATCAACTTTTTATTCACATTATATTAAGGGAACACTATGTCGCAGCGATCAAGTAGTTGTCCCTCTGTGAAATGATTGAAGTTGAGAGTTGAGCACGCTGGAGTATCAAATACTAATAATTCGCAATATGTACAATTTGTTTGAGAAACACATTTGCATTCAATGGGAAGGGGATTTGGAAAGGTTTCGTTCGTTTGGATTCTTAATATTAATAGTTTGAAGTTACGGTTATTTTTTACATTTTTGCGGAAATATATTCTAACACAGCCCCTATATGGCGACTACAACACCAATCGAGTTGATACAGTAAACGTCGATACAAATTAACATCTAGCACTGCTCGAATACTATATTGTACATGATACACAATACGATAATCTTGGTATAAATATTTACATATATGTGAGAACGATTATTAATAATTAAAGTAAATACAATAAAAAATAATTTGTACAATTTTTTTTAATTGTAAACGCCTCTGGTCATGGCTTCACGATTTCGATTATGCCACTTGCACGTGAGAATTCGTACGTATGTACGTCTAAACGAAGCATTGCATAATGCATAACACATGGGATTTATAGTCGAGTTAATGTAACACAATGCATAGAAAAAGTCCCAAAGTTCTTGAGGTATGCACCCGGTACAAGCCGTTAATGGTTTTAACAACACTAATATATTATAAGGTGTCCATGTAATGATGAATGATAATAATATGGCTGAAAGAGTTTTCGCTGCTTTTGTTTCTTGTTTTTTCTCTTGCGTTTTTTTCTTCTTTTTGGCCTGCTGTCTAGCTTGTGCGCTTATTGCAACCGGTTTCTCAGCTAACTGTTTCGGAATGATTTTCGCATTGAGCGGAATACGCATGTGTGAGGCATGCGAAGCTCTCCTTGATAATGGATCTAATTGCATATCGACTTTTAATGAACAAGCTTTATGAGCTATAGCTAGAGGTATATCTTCAGATATCATTTTAATGGAAGGCGTGCGATCTTGTCCGTCTTTGTCTGCGTCCCCGGGGAGCCTGATCAGGATGGTGTAAACCGAATCTTGAGTAGTTGGCGGCGACGAGGCGTGAGAGAGGTAAGTCGGCGGCAGAGGCGAGGTTCGCCCTTCCGTTGTCGTCATGTATGGGTCGCGTATCACATTCAGGGAAGTGCATCTCGACACTGAGCTCTGCAACGGCGTCTCGATAGAGACCGGAGTCGCGTATCCAGGATCTGACGGTTCTTCCGGATCTGGTTCATAGTATTCCTCTCTGCCTGAGTGCCACCAAGCTACGCACCACTCGCGAACTCCTCCGCATGAGGCGTACCACAGAAATAACGCTAACTGTAATTGAATTTTCAATATTACTACTGAATAATAATAATTTTAATCATTAGCCTTATAGCTCAAGACTAATATATATATATATATATATATATATATATATATATATATATATATATATATATTAGGGTGGTCCTTAAAATAGTCATTTTCGAATTTCCTTGCTCCCAGGGGCTCAAATGGTTCCAAATAGATAAAAAACAATTCTCTGAAATTTTAGCTCTTAATATTAACGTTTAGATAGAGCGCAATTCGATCAAAGTTTTGTATGGAAATAGCATGGAAAAATTTGCAAAAATTTTAAAAATGTTTTTTAAATGTAATTTAGCGAACAAATGAATGAATAAAACTCATTCATTTGTCGCTAAGTTATACCTAAAACATTTTTTTTTAATTTTCAAAAAATTTTCAATGCTCTTTCCATACAAACTTTGATTGAATTGCGCTCTAACTAAACGTTAATATTAAAAGCTAAAACTTTCAGAGAATTGTTTTTTATCAATTTGGAACCAT